TTGATTTTTTTTTCTCTTTTTTTTTTTTTTTTTTTAAAAAGAGAAAAAAATTTTTTTTTTTTTTTTTTTTTTTTTTTGGCATGTAGCATTTAGTAAATAGTAAGACAGAGACCTAGGCATTCAAAACTTAACAATATGTTCACTATTATGAAAATATTTCCTGTACTTGTCATTTCAGCAGCCTGACTCAGCCAGTGACCTGGCTGCTATGCTGATACACAGGATTAAATCCTTACTGAATGCCCAGTAAATTTGTCTTCTTGTTTTCAGCACCCTCGTCCCATGTACATGCCTTACATCTGGAAATGCCTTTAACCAATAGTCTAAAGTTACCCAAAGGGAATAGTAAAAAAAAGAGGTCTTCCACGTCAGTCAGCTCTGAAGGGACAGAGATACAGTTCTCTGTGCCTGTAAAGGAGAAATGTTTTGAGAATCTGCAGGAGAAAATGTTAAAGAAGGTCATTGAGAAGGACAAGCATTCAGAAGTTGGTAAACTACAATGCTTTTTGTTTCCAGTGCTTAAGACCGTAAAAGTAATTGTAAAGCATCTTTAAAAATCAGTGTGTTATTTGTCTTTCTTTTAATTATGTATTGATAGGAATGTTTACAATCAAGTAACTTTTACAAGAAAGTACATCGTCCACAGTGATCCCTCTAAGCTTTTGTGTTTTTTCTTAAATCTACAGGTATATTGAAAACTGAAAAAAAAGTGAAATTGGAAGAGAAAAGCTCATCATCATTTGGTATGCACAGAAAATCATATTTAAGCAAAAAGTCTAAAGCTTGAGAGAGCAAGAACATAGCCTGTCCCTAACTTTTTAGCTGTTATGCTCTTTTAGGTGTAAGTGCTCAGCTGTTTTAATATTTCTAAAGCAACCAGCTTTTAAAAAACAAAAACCTGAAACCCAAACACCTAAATAGATGTAAAAGGGCTTCTTGGAAATAAATAAACTTGTGTGACAGTATTTGCCTAAGAGATTGTGTGTAAATTGCAAGGACGCAGAGGGACAAGACCCGTAGTAATAGTAGGGCTATAATTTCATGTCTCCATTCCTAGACCAACTGGGTGGGGCATGAGGCCTAAGAGGAAAGGAATAATGATAGGGTACCCTTTATAACCTTTTTCAATTAAATTAGTGGTATGTGTAGTTATTAACTTATGTCTAGAGGTGGAATAAATAAAGGAAAAGTCTAATGGCTAGATATCCAACAGAATATGCAATGCCTCTTAAAATGAAATCTAAATTAAGGAAGTTTGGAGTATTCACTCTTCAAATATTAGTGATGGTCAGATAACGACTCATTCAAAAAATGTCACTTTTGCCACAATTCATTATTTTCCATCCCCAAACAAATTCATTTTTGACACAGATTCAGCCCTACATGTGTCTGAACTGATCATCAATCTATGGAAGGAAAGAAGGAATAGAAATAAGCCCAATTAGCTCTAATTGAAACATACACTATATCTGCTCTTATTCTGTGTGGCTAAGGGAAATGTACACAAAAAAGAGTATTATCTTCGAGTCAGTCCTTGAGGTTTATTTTCCAGCTGAAGTCAAGTCCCTCTTTATTACCTCACAACTGACTGCTTTGGAAATAACTATGAAGTTAGAAGCTGTGGATTATGGTTTCCCATGAGAAACACGTAGCAGGGACAGATGAATTATTGTAAGACAAAGACTCCGTTCTCATGCAGATGTCAGTAGTACTTAAAAAGGAGTAGACATATAACTTTAATTTTATTCAGAACAAACTCAGCTGATAAAATTTTGGGTGAGAGGACAGCTAACTGTTCTTAAAGGAATTTATGGCAGCTGCAGTTTCAGGTGTTTATCATTAATCTCTATGGGCTGGTCCACACTAAGCCCCCAGTTTGAACTAAGATACGCAATTTCAGCTACGTGAATAACAGCTGAAGTTGAAGTATCCTAGTTCGAACTTAAAGGTACTTACCGTGGGTCCACACGCAGCAGGCAGGCTCCCCCGTCGACTCCGCCTACTCCTCTAGCAGAGCAGGAGTACCGGCGTCGACGGCGAGCACTTCCGGGATCGATTTATCGCGTCTAGACAAGACGCGATAAATCGATCCCAGAAGATCGATTGCTTGCCGCCGAACCAGCGGGTAAGTATAGACGTACCCTATATTAGATCACCTAGCATGCTTTGCTAGAGGATGTAATTTTTTTAAATTAAGAGTTCTTCCTGTTCTCATCTTCCCTGTTTCTACAGCATGATCAAAACCTGGAAAGTAAATGGGTTGTCTACTCTGTTTCTTACAAACTAATGGATGTACTACTGATATATTTTTTAAATATACATTTTTTTTTAAAATGTAAGCTTTATTAAAACTGGGTCTTTTTTTTTCCTCATGTGCGGGTCACATCTGGAAATTCTGAAGGCTACACAATGTTACCTGTCAAGATATGGGATACAGTTGACTTCTTGACACTGAGAAGCTGAATTATGTTACTCTGCTAGGAAGAGTCTCACTAATAACTGTTAACTTCAAGGTGTCTCAGCTAAGGAGGAACTCCAGTGCTATTTCAAAAATCAGTTAATCACAAGGGCTATACTCATGGCACTGAACAAATTAATTGAATCATTCCGCTCTTGGCAGGTGACTGGAACAACTGATTTAAAATTTAAATGTTGCTTTTAGGGTAACTGAAAGAAAAAAGTATTCGAGGATGATGTTTTAAAATGTTCATTTGCAATTAGGTAAAAAGAAGGAGAAGGAGAAAGAGAAAAAAGAGAAAAAGGAAAAAGATCATAAATCAAAACAGAAGAAGAAGAAGAAAAAGAAGAAGAAATACTAAACAGCACGGTGAGTTCAGTAAGGAAAAAAGTAAAGACAGAAAAGTAAGACAAAAAGTAAAGGTCAAATACTATCTTTCTGGTTCTGATTGGTGGTTGTTACTGACTGAAATATCGAATGTTCATACAGTTCAGAAACAAGTTCTGAAATATCAGAAATTATCAAAAGGAGATGTTGGTCTTGAAATTTCACATAGCAAAGGCATTTTGATCTGGTATCTCCTCTCCTTCTCCCCTTCTATCCCATCTCGGAGTGATCATGTCTACTCATGGCTTTAACTGCTATTCTTACACCAATGACATGTAGATACACTTCTCCACTCCAGCCTCCCTCCACTCAGTTCTGCATCTCAGACTCTTTCACATCCATCCCTGACTATCTCACTGCTTACTTTTATCTTCACATTTAGGTTGTCTCTAAATCTTGCCAAATCTTTCTGCATAACATCTCTAAGATACAGGCTTTCCTATCCATCCTGATACTGAAACTTACATACAGGCTCTCATCATCTCACGTCTCAGTTACCGCATCATCCTTCTCACTGGCCTTGACAAATGCAATCTTGTCCTGCTCATATCCAGCCAGAATGCTGCTGTGATCATTTTCCTAGCCTGTCACTTTAACTATGTTAGCTGTGTCTTTGCATTCCACCACTGGCTCCCCCTCCTCTGTTGAATCAAACATTAGCTACTTGTCTTCATTTTCAAGACCCTTCATGGCCTGCTCCGACCCTCGTATAATCTCTCATTCACTATTGAGATGTTCACTTCTGCATCTGATCAGCCCATGATTCAGCCTTCGTAGCCCACTCATTGTTTTCAAACAAGCACTTCTGTGCTTTCTCCCATTCTGCCCCTCAAGCTGGGAAGAGCTTCCCCATAAACATCTGCAAAACCAACTCGTTATCCTCCTTCAGAGCTCTCCTTTTGCTTGCTGCTTACAACAAACGGTTAGGCTGCTGATGTGCTGAGATCGCTGCTTATCTTGATGCCCAATTTTGTCACAGTGTTTCCTTGTACTCCACCATCTGTCTATATCCATTAGTTGCCTCTTGTCTTAGACTTACATTATAAGCTCTTTTGAGCAAGCACTGTCCTTTGGGTCTGTGTTTGTACAGCACCTAGCACAATGGGGTCCTGGTCTATGACTAGGGATCCTGGGTACTAGGGTAATACAAATAATAATAATATGGCCAAAACTCTGATCTTTTCTTCACCCCAGTGACGAGATATCCATTTTGTGAAAAATACCTGTTTACCGTAAATGTCTTGGGACTTGCCATTTAATTATACCATGTATTTTTCTTACCTTTCTGCTGCTTTTTTGTTTATGGGATATGCTCTTATTTTCTCTGTAATATAAAAGACGTAAAATGGAAAACAAAAACTATTGGCTGCCGTTGGCATGCCCCTCAGATTGATTTACGTCACTAACAAATCTGTAGTGTACCTTAGTAGATGTTAGTCATAATATTCCTAATTAAAATATTCAGAGTAATCCAGACAAGATTCCTGGAAACTCTCTGGGATTAATCATTTAAGAGCACCCAGGACAAGGGTTTTTAGTGAAAACTTCTGCTCACAAGCATGTGGTTTCAAGTGGGTTTTTTACATTCTGCACCACAAGATTTCTGGTCTCGTTTCCTGTTTTCTCAGCTTTTTGTTTACAGACGGTGTGCCTAACACTGTTCAAGACACAGAAGAATACATAGTCCCTGCTCTTGAGGAGGTTACGGCCTAACTAGGCAGGCAACACTAAACAAAGGGAAAGCCGGGGAAGGTTCTATTTTTGTATAATTATATTTTTTTAAAAGGGGAGGGGGAGGAGTGATGGTAATGGGGCAGCTTTTGTTGATATCTCTTAACATTTATTCTTTGTTGCTGCTGTATATAGTAAAACAGAATTGTGACAAAACATTATTGTAAAGCACTTCCTAGTTCATCACAATTTCTGGCCATGACTTTCTAAAGGATAAACTGCAGATTTCTGAAGTGAGCAAACACTTATTCATCCAAACCACAGACTGTACGATGAAAATTGGCTTCTTGTATTAGTTTATATTGGGTACTGTACAGGTTATACTGAATAGGCCTAATAGGCCATGTTATTGATTTGGAATTACAAGTATATCTTCTGGAAATGTGATATTGTAATTGGAACAAGTGTTGCATGGTATTCCTCTGAGCATAGAAAGCAAAGTATTTTCGAAAACCCTTATGTCTGTTAGCTGAAACCTTCAGTTTATCAGATATTTCTAGTGAGTGAAATAGAGAAGACTAGAAGGATACTCTGGCATCTGCAATAGAGGAATGATTAACATTCATGCATGCTGAATAGGAAAGGATGACTTGAGTGTAAGTTGGACAAATGAAAAAACAGTTTATGAAGATTTCCCATTTCATTTAGGTGATGTACCAAACAGACGTATTTTTTACATTTATTTTGTTTACTCAAATTTCTAGATAGCTCTTGACTAGAAATTGAGGCTAGATGTGAAGCAATGAATGTCAAAAGCAGAAAACATCTTCCATAAACTTGAAAAGATTTGGAAAAGTAGCATGGTTGGCAATGACCTAAAAACATGAATTTTTAACACCAGCTTGAATTCCGTCCTCTTTAATGAAGCAGAGTCATGGAAATCTACTATAGAAATTGATAAGAAGATATCTCATTTGAAAGTAAATGAAGATGAAGGTCTTACGAGTCCATTGGAAAGAGATTCTTGCAGCATCAGAAAGTCTAAGTAGAACAAACCAATCTAAAGTATCAAATATGGTAAGATGATGACGATGGGCATATTTTGGATACACTTTGAGGATGCCAGCAATATGACTTCCATTGCTAGTGATAATATGGACACCACTTGGAAAGAGAAAAAGAGGTCGACCTAGAGCAACTTTACACAGAACAATAGAGAAAGTATATGACACTCAGAAGCCTGAACAGACCCGCACAAGACCAAAATAAATGGTGGAAACTGATGGGTGCCCTGTGCCCTTAAGAGTGCGGGAGGATGAAGAAGAAAGAATCCCTTGTCACAATATATTTCAATGTTATTTGTCACATCATAGATGAATATGCTGCTATACATTGGTGACACTGGGCAAAAAAGTTACTATCTAAATGCACAGCACCTCAAGACAATACAGAAGATGACACAATTAACACAGATACTCAGTAGAATTGCAGTTGTCACTGATCATGGGTCTCAAGGAGTAGATCGTATTTAGGAGTGGTGTGAAGGATAGTAAAGGTTCTTGGGGAATGTTGACTGGGAGACTACCCTAAGCTTAGAGGCGATATGGAAGAAAGCACAGAATTGGCAGTGGATTATGGTGGAAAGGGAGAATGTAGAAGAGAAGCCTGAACAAAGCATGCAGCATGGAACTATTGTAGATGGTGGTAGCAGGGCTGTGGAATACTTTAAAAAGGAAGATGAGAAGGTTGGAGTAATGAGCAGTGAGTACAATTATTTAACTTCCATGTCCTAGGATAGGTAGTCTCACTGTGCATGGATAATATCAGTCCATGTATTGTTTCCTATGACTGTTGTAGCTGCAGGCTCGGGCCAGTTGTGCAGAGCTGTTCTGTGTAGAGCTGCTATCTCAGCTCTTCCAGGTAGTGGTGTTGGTGCTGCAGTTGATCTCCAGGGAAAAAGGAGAGAAGGTGGCAGCAGCAGACACAGGGATGGGGAGAGGTACCGAATGAATTGGGTGTGGGAGTAGAGATAAAAATAAAAGTGGAAGAAAAAGGGATGGAGAGAATCACTTCTAGGGGAAGGAAACAGGACTTTAAGAGTACAGAATGTACGGGAGATGCTGTAGAAGTTAGCAGTAGGATGGAAACAGAGGATTGAAAATCATGTGGAGGATTACGTTGTTTCAGAGAGGCATCAAAACCGGATATTTATCCAAACCTCAAAACTTTTTAAAGTTCTCCCATTACTAGTTTATTGGGGGTTGGGGGGTGAGTTTTTATAATATCGCACAAAGGTGTAGTTCTGTATCTCTGAAGATTAAGTATTCATCTTTTAAAAAAAAAATTACCTAACATTTGCAGAGATGTGCACATAACCCTCCAGCAGACCTCAGGTTCATGGCTTAATTGGGAACATTTTAAAAAATTTGGCAAACATAGTGTGTTGGAAAAGGAAGATCATCTTAGCAGCAGACGTTTGGACAGATTTAGGCATGAAATTTGGGAAGCAGGAGAGGAACGTGAGACAAAAAAGATCCTGTTTTTCTCAAACGTCAAAACAAGAAAAACTCAAGAACTGGGGCTCATAATTTCTAGAACAAATCAGAAGGAGTTAAACATTCATTGTTACTAATTTTATTTTCCATGTGAGTCTGTTGCAGTTGCCACAGGGATATTATTTGATTGTCAGTGGGAAGGAAGGAAGAACCAGGTGCTGATGAGGCATGATTTGTGAAAACCCTCTAAGATGTGTCCAATACACACAATACTGTTTGATAGAAAAGAACTGACAAAAAAGTCAATCAAAGATCGATTGGAGAACACTGATTATGAATATAGTGCGATATTCTTTCTTTTTGGTAGTCTTACAAGGTTCTTTCTCACAATCTCAGATATGTATGAAGTGAGAAATAAGAAGTTATATAATTAGTCTGGTGCAGTGTACGTACATAAAGGAGGGGCAGAGTTGAAGTCACGCTTGAAATTTTTAACGTTGTAATTTTTTTTACTCTGCTTGGTAACCATAATTTTTTTTATTCTGTCTTGGTAACCATAATGTTCTTAATATCACTTACATCAATACATACGTAAAAAAGACAGTTTAGGGGTTTGTGTGATATTAATATGTTTCCCTTTATTTTGGTATTTATGCACTAATGCATATTT